CCCCCCCCCCCCCCCCCCCCCCCCCCCCTGTGTTTTTTATTAAATGAATTAAATATTTGGATTTACCTCCCTCTCAGCTGGTGTCCTTCACTTCCCTCCTCCTCTCCTGTCTCCTTCAGAAAGACACCGTTTGAGTTGCATTCATTCTGAAACAAAAAGCAGCTTTTCCTCCTCTTTCCTCTTTGAGTTGTTTTCGGTAGCCAGACGTGATCCTTGCTTTTAAAAAAGCGTTTCATCGTTTCATCAGCCACACGAGTGCTGATGAAACTGCATGGTTTGAAAGCTGAATAAGCGCAAAAAGAAAGAAAAGATTTGGATAAAGCGTTCAGTTTGAGATGCTTTTCTCTCAGTTCTGAAGTTTCCAAGAGGAACTAAATCAACGCTCTCTCCTTATCTGATGATGTGCGTTCACGTTGGGAATATTTGATCTCACGTCAAATTATAGATAAACCGGAATGTTTTGAATCTGCTGCGACTTAGAACGGACTTCCCCCCCCCCAGAGTGTCTGCAGCTCCACGTCAGAGTCTAGGACGCTCTGCAGCTACAGTGAAACGTCGTCTCTTCAGTCTGCAGAGGTGTTGAGATGTTCCTTCTCTCGGTAGTCCGGACATGAAAGCGGTCTCACAATGCAACTCTTAAATCTGTTCTGGACTGATTGTCTCGCAGTCATTTTTCCCCTTTTGTCTCGTTCTGCATGATGCGTGACTCACACCCTCTATTACTGTCGGAGCATTCATCGTCATTTCAAAGGATTATCCTAGTTGGAAGCCCTCGTACATGTGGGCTGTCAGGGGAAACTCTCTTTACCATGTTCTTCTCACCTCTGATCCCAGTTTGTCCCCGAAGCCCCCCCCCCCCCCCATGCTGTTCATCATCGTTGAGTCGACTTAAAAGCTGTAATCTCCGGCCTGGACCTACAGCTCACATAGAAGTTGTCCTGAATCGCTGGAAAACAACCAATATCCTAGTTGTTTCTACCGGACGGACATCTGAGGTCACGAGAGAGCAACATTCGGGGATTTGTCCACTAAAGAGTGGAGCTTTCTCTCATGCTCTGTGTACCGTTCTTTCATTTTTCCCCTCAAGTATTCATTTAAAAACCTTTTGATTTGCTAACAGTGTTTTTGGGACAACTTCCATGAGTTCCGCTGTGCCCTAAAGGGAACACCCGCCCCCCCCCAACCCAAGCCGAGAGAGCACCCCTCTTGGATTTAACTCCTGCCTTTCTGTTGGGCAGCTTTGACTCCGTCGGCTCCTTTGGCCCTGATGCCTCCTCCGTCCTCGGGGGCCCACCAGCCCGTCACCGTGTCCCGTCTGCAGATGCAGCTCCACCTACAAGGCCTGCAGCAGAACACCAACGCACTGCGCAAACAGCTGTCGCAGCTACGCAACATGCAGGTGAGTGTGTGTGCGTGTGTGTGTGTGTGTGTGTGCAGAGTTGTGGAGGAGAAGGGTCTAAAACAGCAGTTTAACTGGAAGTACTCAGTTACCAGTTTATTAGGTACACCCACAGACTGTATGTAAGAGGTGGACGCAGTCGTCGTGACGTCATTCATCGGTTTGTGGACTGATGTTTTGAAGCCCAGAGTTCAGCAGTTTTGCCGTCAATACAGAGGCAAAACCCACATACACATACATATTAATATACATGTATATACGTATGTATGTATGTGTATATATATATATATTTATATATATATATATATATACATATACACACATACCGTCAGGCAACATGAACCCTCTTCTTGTCGTCCCAGCTGGAGAACCAGGACTCGGTCTTGTCCCTGCTGAGGCAGACCGAGTCCGAGCTGAGCCTCATGATGCTGGACGCCATGCGCACGCAGGAGGACCCGCTCCAGAGACAGCGCCTCCTGGTGGAGGAGGAGAGACTCAAGTACCTCAACCAGGAGGAGCTGCTCATCCAGCAGCTGCAGTGAGTCCACAGCATTCTAACCCAACAACGAAGCAGCGCGAATGAAAGGAGAATGTGTCCTGGATGTGAATCTGTGGCGTGGTTCCTCCTCAGTGACCTGGAGAAGTCGGTGGAGGAGCTGCAGAGGAACTCGTCGGTGAATCACGGCCTGGTGACGGAGCAGGATGTGGAGCAGAAGAGCAAAGAGCTGAGGATGCTGGGAGAGACGCTCACTGAGCTCAAAAGTAAGCATTGTCTGTGTGTGTGTGTGTGTGTGTGTGTGTGTGTGTGTGTGTGTGTGTGTGTGTTCAGAGATCACTGGCATTGCTGTGGCTTTTCTGCTGGAGACTTTTTTACAAGTTTGCTCACCAGTGAGTGAGCTTCAGAAAGATCCTCAAATCTGAGAGCAGCTGGTTTTGAAGCTGCTGAACGGCCGCCTGGCTCACGCTCGCTTCACCACGGCTGCAGCCTCATTATCAGCATGTTCCTTTCTTCTCATTGTCAACATCCCGGTAAAAGTCTCAAACCAACACTGAATGTTTCCACTAACAAGTACTGTGTGTGTGTGTGTGTGTGTGTGTGTGTGTGTGTGTGTGTGTGTGTGTGTGTTCCTCTGAGCCACAGAGCTCCATTATAAACACATCAGTGAGCCTCACTGTTGTTCCTTCATCTCCATGAACACACACGCTGTAGTTTATTTTGACTCAATCACACACACACACACACACACACACCGTCCCGCTGCAACAAAAAACTCACTTAAAGCACCAAAGGTAGATTCATCCGCTGCTGAAAATAGTCCCCCACAAAATGCACTATTTTCTCCTTTTTGTCTGATAAAAGAACTACATTGACAAACTGTTCATGGGATTAGTGGACAATAAGAAAACATCAACCTTTTTACCTTTTTAATTACTATATTTTTTGGTTTTATGTCACTTAATTTTTGACTGAGGAACAGAGGGGCAGACCGTCAGACCCTGCTGCAGTAAAATGAGAGGTTTCCTAACTCAGAGACACTACCACCTTAGTCCACAGGGGGCGACAGAATCAACAGTAAATTAAAGTTCCTCGTAGTAACTTTAATGACAGAATTCTTCATCGGTTGCACATTGTTATCCCAGTACAGCTGCTGTATGACGGTGTAAATACTGATAAATACTCATTAATGTACTCGGGTGCAGCACTGCAGTCGTAGTTCTGGGTCATAGTTTATGTACCAGGACTGCTGAAATACTACGTGTACAGTATGTCAAACCGATGTTCTACAAAGTCACAATGAATATTTATGAATCTTCTCAGACTTGATATTCATGAAGTTTTCAGGTGTAGCCTCTTGTTCTGCTCCTCCAACCTTTGTTCTTCTCTCCATCTGGAATACTAACGAGTCCTTCCTGTTATGATCGGACTGACTGTTTCCCAGTTAGCACGTCCATCTAGCGCCTACAAAACGCCGCCGCTGAAGCTTTGTTTCAGTGTTTGAGTGGCAGTTGGTTTTTCAGGACATCTGAGCCGTCCCAACATTTCAGAGGCTGGCTGTGAAGTGTCCACACATCCACCCACGGAGGAACACCGGCTGTGTTTTTGTCACCGCGCCTCCAGCATGCCATTCGCTCTCAGTTGGCCGACTTCCACCGACAGTGGCTTTGAATAGCTGCGACGGAAACAGCATGCCTCCCCCCCCCCCATTCCTCCACACATCATCGTCCTCTCTGACAATGCCACTCTGTCTTCCTCATCCATCTGTCCACCTTTACCTCGCTGTCGTCCTCACCCTGTTGCTCCCTCCCTCCCTCCCTCCCATGCAGTCCAGTTCCCCAGCCTGCAGAGTAAGATGCGGGTGGTGCTGCGGGTGGAGGTGGAGGCTGTTAAGTTCCTGAAAGAGGAGCCTCACCGGCTGGACGCCCTGCTGAAGCGCTGCAACACCATGACGGATGCGCTCAGCACGCTCCGCAGGTATACAAATCAAACACGCCCCGGTTATCTCATTTAAACCGGGTCGGGTCACAAACCACATTTCTTCTCCTCTTGTAGACGATTTCATGGTGATTTTCTTTGAGCCGGCTGGAAGATTCAAACACTCACACTCGCTTATTCTGCTGAATAGCAGAGGAAGAATTCTTTAACAATGTGTCCCAGAGCCGAAGCTGCTCTTCACTTCGACATTTAACTGATTCCTCGCTGTGAGAGATGTAATAATTCTGACCCGAAGGCTCGAAGCTTCGACCGCTGACACGTTAACCCACGTCCAAATCTGACAATAGTTATGCATCAATACTAGTCACGATGAGTTATTGTCAGACGGGCGGCGCTCGAGCTGAAACTATTAAGCGACAACTATTTTGATAATCGATTAATCAGTTTGAAAAAAAAAAAAATTTAATTAAGAAAAAGGGTCGAAATGTTTTGATTCCAACTTCTTAAAAACAAATATTTTCATTTTTAATCATTTGTTACATTTAAGTGAATATCTTTGAGTTGAAGACACAACAAGACATTTGAAACACCTTCGGGAAACACGGCTTGTCGCCATTTTCTGACATTTTACAGACAGAGAGACGATCAATTAATGGATGAAGTGATGGTCAGATTAATGGCTGGTGAAGATGACCGTTAGTTGCAGCTCTAGAGAGCTCGTAGTTGAGTTTAACGCTGTCCGTGGTGCTGAAGTCGACAGACAGTCTGTTTATGTATTCATGTGTTCATAGGCGTATATATGAGTTCATTTGTTTTGATGGGCTTTCACTGTAATTCATTAGATGTGATTATTGCACATTTTGTGTTTTAGTTTCAATAACAAGGAAAATACTCGTAGTTCGATGTTTGTCGTCATCTCTCGTTAAACAGAATTAAAATACAATTTAAGTAAATAATCAAGAGTGACAGCTTGTGTTGTTGGCCGTTTAAATGCTCAGGAGTAACTGAACTAATGGGCCGACGATGTAAAGGGTCCAGGACTCAAACAAATCCTTGACTTTGTGTTTTACTGACTGAACCGGGTCTGGACTGAGGCCTCGCTGGTTTCTACTCCGACACAACCTGCCAAGATAGAAAGAAAAGAAACGTTTCCTTGCAGCTGTAAATCTGATTCTGACTGACAGGGTGAAGAGAGGGAGGTTCTCCTTTGACTCTCTTCTTCTCTCTCTGTCCAATATTTCTCACTGAACTTCGAAGCCCCAGAAACGGTTTGAGACGGCCCGAAAATATAAACATGTTTTTGTTTATTTGTCTTTATTTGTTTGCTTGCACAATAAAAACTAGAGTTATTACAAATAACATAATGTGCACACAAAGACATTCACCAATATACAAAAACCCGTTGCCGACATATAGTCGTGTGTACGTGGATTTAAAGTGTTAAAGATAAAGACCTCCTGAAAACTCCAGACGAGATAAACAGAAATGGATTAAATAACGACGATCAGGCAGAAACATGTTTTTCTACAATTCAGCCAATTAAAAATGTTGTAAACGTTGAAAACAGATCTCACAAAGGACTCGGAGGGAAACACGTTTCTCCTCTCCTGTCGATCCATCGTGTTTTATCTGAGTGATGAGACACGAGACCGTCAGAGGAGCTTCACTGTTCACGTCAGTGCTTCTGTTGATGGTGAGAGTTTGTGGTCAGTGTGAGTTCATCACACAGAATCATTTCATTGTTGAGGATCCACTTCTCTGTTTGTCATTTTTCTTCTGACATAAAAATAATGAATTATTACAAAAGATAAATAGATGATTAGATATCTCATTGGTGGCCGAGAATGGCAACGTCACCGGTTCGAGTCCCACTGGAGACCTTTTGTTGTACATGTTTGTGGTAAATGTATTTCATCTTTTATTTCCTGCAGTTTGCTGCTCTAACAAAGTCCAGGACCTTCATGGTGTCCTGTGTGTATTGTAGTCTCTTGTATCCCTCCTATATGTACAGACAAGTGACGGAGGGAGTGTGGAAGGGCCCCGAGGACCTCCCCAGCCAATCGCAGAAGAGATCGGAGGACTCGAGTCGCGGCTCTGACCTGGACATCCTGAACAGTCCTCCTCTCAGCCTCAGCGACCTGAGCGCCGGCGCCGGCCTCGCCAACTGGATGCCCGTTACCTCCGGCGACACCGACACTTCGGGCCCCGAGCAGGACATCCAGCCCTCCATGGCCTTCAGGAACCGGGTCCTCGACGAGCTGCCGAGTCGGCGTCCCGGCGATAAGTCGGTGTCGGCCGAAGTTAGACTGGTAATCACATCGCTTATTAACAAATGTAAATATGTCCGAGTTAGCCTGCTGAACAAATGTCCAATTACATTAACAATCACATCTAAAGGTGCTTCAATTTATTCCACACACAGCAGCAGTCGCTTTGTAATAATATTAATAATAATAATAATATTAATAATAATAATAATCCGATGTGTGTGAAGGAGAGATAGCGCAGGTTCCTCATTTAACTATTCATTTATGTGCAATATCAACAGTCCAATACATCATATTTTAGTTTTATTTATTATACCTTCACTATATGATTACTTATGTATTATTCTTGTTTGTTTGTTTTTTCTACTCATGTCTCTTGTTCTCGATATAATAGAGATAATAAAATACATATAATATAAAATATAATGATAATGTTAATAATAATGTATAGCGCTGTAAAAGGTACTCAAAGGCGCTTCACACGGTAAAGACATAAAGTGTTAAATCATAACAATACAAACAAAGCAGATAAATGACATTATAAAAGTAAAATAAACAATATAATGATAATAAATCCATATGTCCGTGCAGTACTACAAACATCCTGCATGAACGTGTCTTCGTAAAGCTCACAGCTCATTGGTCCGTGTCTGTATGTGTGTCAGGCGGCGGAGCGGGACTGGGAGGAGAAGCGGGCCAGCTTGACCCAGTTCAGCGCCCAGGACATCAACCGGCTGCTGGAGGAGACCCAGGCCGAGCTGATGAAGGCCATCCCGGACCTGGACTTCGCTGCCCGCCACATCAACAAGCCCGCGGTGCCCCCGAAGCCCCAGATCACCGTCCCGATGACCTCCACCGCGGCGGCTTCTCCTGCAGCCGGCACCACCGGGACCACGGCCGGCACCGCCTCCACCGGCTCGCCCAGCGGGGACCAGCAGCCCGGCAAAGTGCAGCTGGCCGCCCAGAAGCTGAACAGCATGGAGGGGGCGGGTTCACATCGAGGGTCGGGTGGGTGGTCTCTGTTCATTTACCGCCATCCATCTCCTTCATGTGGGAGTCAAAACATCTTCTGAAAGTGTCTCCTTGTGTTCACAGTGGATCTCAGCGTGACCCGGTATCGTACGGAGAAGCCCTCCAAGTCTCCGCCTCCTCCTCCGCCTCGCCGGAGCTTCCCGTCGGCACACGGCCTCACCACCAACCGCACCGGGGAGGTCATCGTCACCTCCAAGAACATGAAGGTGAGATACTTCAGGGCTTGGCGGTGGAGGAGGAGGAAGTCTTCTCTACCTTTTTAAAGCGTGTGGAAATAAAGCCACGTCAGCTGTCACTGAAACACTGACCGCGTTGTTGGAACAGCTGTTTGACGTCTAATCTGAGTGACATTTGTCATGCGTAAACACACCTCTGTGGTGCTGCCGGTTGGAAGCTGAGAGAATCTAAATCTCCTGCAACAGCTGATCCTGAAAATATTAAAATAAGAGTCACTTTCAGTCGGGGGAGCGTTTAAGATATGCAGCTAAACCTGGAGGTGCGGTCTCAGTGGGGCTGTGTGAAGGGATGTCGGATTGTGAGCCACATATTGAGAGCGCTGCTCTCACATGTACAACAGAGTGAGGATCCTGTCGGCAGTTTGAGGTTTTGTTTCTGAGGCGTGAACACGCTGCTGACGCTCTGAAGCCTCCCTGATCGCCCTGATCTCTGCGTGATGAGACTTCACTTCAACAAGGTGCTGAAAACCTTCCTGAATGAACAATGTCAAGTGGTTCCTTCATTCGATTTTTCTTTGGCGGTTCATTCACACAACAGTTCAGTTGTATTAATAATAACTGCTGTCATGCTGAAAGAGTTCTGGTAAAGATGAAGGACACTCAAAATGACGT